TATATATATATATATATATATTAAATATATAATTACTATAGTATAATTACTATATATATATATATAGTAATTATACATAAATTGTATAAATATGATTTCTATTATACCGTACATCTGATTAATTTAATTTGTATACATTTGTACAGCGACATATGTTCCAATTTTTTTCTAAAAGTTGCTAAATTTTCATAAATCTATATACATTTTTTGTTAATCTATCTAAATTGTAATTATCCCTTTAAAAAAGTAAAACTTAAATTTTATAACTTATATCAGCCTGGAATATATTTCCCTGCAGCTAAAATTGGTTATTAAATTAATAAGGTGATTTAAAGTTTACCTTCGGACAAGTCGCGCTCCTCTTCTCTCCGAAGTATATACACTATTGAAGGAATCGCTTGTCACGAGAAACACCGAATCGAACGATCGGAAGACAATGGCACGAAATTGAGTCGGGTGGACGAGTAACGCAACCAAAAAGGGACAACTCCTTGAAGCACTTGCTACGAAGTATCCAACCGCTTCCAGCACAAGCTTTTGCTCGACACTCTTCGATCTCTTACGAGAACGAATCGATTTCCGAGGCAACAGTTACGGATCTCGAGTCGCAACAATTCTCGACACTCAAGAGTGTTTAATAGTTCTCCGCTCGAGAACACACGATACGATGTTTCTCGCGCGCGCGGACGATAGCGATTTATTAAAGAAATTCCGCGGCGTTTTCGTCGAGCTTACAACCGACACTTTTACCCACATACATATTTTATTTTCCTCCGGCGATGTCGCGTGCGATCTTCTCTCACAACATGCAGCTGTCGCGTTGCTCCAATTTCGACTTTAACTCGCGGGAAACTTTGTGTCGCAATGGAAAATTAATAGAACGCACCGCGTCAACACTTTCCCGTCCGCGGCTGGCAGCTTTTCACGTATACGCCGAAAAGTATGTAATCGACGATGACGAGAAGAGAGTTTCACTCGTTGGCAATGTCAATATTGTTACAGTCGGTCGCGCATATCGTGTATTATGATTTTATCAGTTGACGACTATCGATCGCGGAAGAAACGAACTTTACTTTCGATATTCCTTTTTCTTTTTCATTCACCGTGCACAATATTATTTCAAGATACGCAAAACGTGATTCCGTATTTTGGACGATTTTTTTACAACTTTTCTTTTTATCTCGAACCGTGTTCAGCACTAATTGCGCAACGTAATCTCTGTTTTACTTTTGCTACGTTCACGATATTTTTCGCCTAATCGCCTAATTGCGTAACTCCGTGACGTTTCTCATATACGTTCCGTACTCGTGTAACAATTTAGGTAATAACACAATGCCGTAATTTTTATCCCGACGTATTCCGATCTCAAAGAGCGGCTAATTACGTTGATAAAACACGCGATAAAAAGTTCTGCGGGATAATCACGATTGCACTTTATACCGAAAGTTCATGCCTGTGCGAAAGACATTGGCGACGAGAAAGGCGCTCTAATGTCAATCGTTACTGTTATCTTTGCGTCTCTCGCACAACACTTTAAACCGAAAACTGCAATTGCACGGCGGAGGGTACATCAAATGGTCAGTCGGAGCTTTAGTCTCACGAGTACTTTTTCGCCGGGCACTTCGCGTAATCGTTTTCGAGAACACGCCCGTTCTCGGTCACGTAAGGGAGCAGCGCGCGCGCGACGTTACTGTTATTGCGATATTTTTACAGTTCACACGCGCTTTTGTTCCAAACGTCACCGTACATTCGGATGAATGACATTGTTATTTTCACGTTTCTACGAACGCTTAAAGCACTCCGAGAACGTATTCGCGAGCCGCGGGCTTTTTACTGCGGAGCTTCTCGCACGTCACGACGTTTCTCACGAATTTTGTCTCGTCACTCGCAAGGAATATATTCACGATTACCGCGTCATCCGCTGAAAATTGTTCTCCTCTCGCGGCATCATCGGCATCTCACTCGTGCATGACGTCAAACGACCGTATTTTCTTTGCTCACTTCCCCGTAACTTCGCCCGGGACGAACTATGCCCGCACTGACCAATAGATCCTCAAGAATTCGCACGCGGAATAATGCGGTAGCCCGAAGAGCACGGCATCCTTTACGCTTTGAGAGTGGATCGGAAACTGAAGCGTTTCGGAACTCGCTGATCCTTTTAAATTTCAATATGATTTAGACTTCGCTTGATTACGTATGTCTCTCCGACACAGCCTATAATTCTTAAACTTTATCATTCTTTACGAAAAATTAAGTACGCCTTTTTCAAGCGCCTTTGATTCTCAAATTTTAATATATCTCTATAGTTATATACATGAATTTAAACTATGCGCTTGATCGCAGCTAAAAATCGCTCTTTAGCTCTCTTAACTTGCTAAAGCTTTGATTTTATTGTATTTATTTTACCTTCTGTTTACTCTCCCAGTAAAAATTGAATGTCCGAATGCAGAGTTCTATCAACATGCGTACGTGTCACTAAAAAATAAAAACTATATATTTTGATGCGGCGGAGCCCGAAAGTTCGCGCCCACTTTGAGGTGAGAATTCGCAGTGGCGAGCCCTCGGCGATCAAGTGCCACTTAAAACCAGAGAATTCGCGCTCGTGCGAAGCTTATCGGTATCGGGAAGAGCCTGACGCCCAAGTTTTAATGCGGATTTTTGCTGACACATTTACGCACCGCCGCAGAAATATCTCTCTGTTGATATCGAACGTGGCTCGTCGTCTCTCGCCCGAATTCAAATTCAAGCAATTTCGAATCTCACAGGCATCCAAAGCGTATTTTTCCCCTAAAAATCGCATAAAGTTTATCACGTTCAAAACGCGAGAAACTTTCCGCTCGATCACCTCGGATCACTTCGAATATATTCCGCGGTTATATTTTCCCCTCGCGAATTTTGCGTCCGGTTTAAACACCAGAGATACGCTGCAATGTTCCACTCGTACTTGCGTAACAATTTTGTACAGGCGAAACTCGCACAAGTGAGAGCATTTTAATCCGGATTTCACTGAATGTGTTTCATGGTATCACTTCAACTATCATCTCGCCGCCCGCAAAATCGAATTTATTCCGAATCACTCGGGCGCCTCGAGCATCTCGACCACATTTTGAGACAGTTATTCCGCGAAACGAATTTCTCCTAAAATTCTCCTACAAATTCTCCGCGAATCACGTAACGTTTCTTCTTTTTTCGCCCCACAGGAGAGATGCCGCACAGCGATGCACTCTTAGTCTCCAGGAATTCAAGCGTTTTCTCTACGTCGACCGGGATTTCTCGATCGCCCTGCGATCTCGCCGCGAAAATCCCAGCATTCCCGGGAATACATTTCACCGTTCCCGAGAGCACTCAGATCGACGGAACTCGCGAGGCGCGCGCGATAAGAAAACAGGTTGCTCGACGAGCGGTAAACAAACGTGTCAAGTTGAGATCCAAAGCGGAGAGAATCTACCCTTCCTAAATCGCACACGCGGCTCACTTGTTGGGGACGCGGGATCTGTAAGCGATCGATAGATCCGCGATTACATACGGTCACTCACTCGCGCTTGTCGATCACCCGTGATTCATTTTCGCGGGTTTCATTTCGTCTCCCTCTCGTTAAAATGCACTTCTTATGATTTTTTTGCGGCAACTTTTCGATCAACGCGCCTCGACGATCGCCGTCCAGAATTTTTAATCGCGTCGGTCGAACGCGGCGACGCGACGACGGGGGATGAAATTAGTCGATCGCGTCGAAAACCGGACGGAATCTCGATTTTTTTTCCTTGAAAAGTGGTCTCACTTTAGCGGCGGATGCGCGCGCGAAACCACCACGAGTGATGCTGAGGTCGGACTGGAGCCTCCGACGCGGCGCTAGCGTCGCTACGAGCGAGGGGCAAACCAAAATCACCCTCCTCCGCGTCGCGACGTTCACCCCCGAGGTGGAGGGTGGCCTGCAGTGGCGGAGGAAAAGCTAAGTCGCCCGGAGTTTAAGGCGCGAATTGCGCGAGAGAATGAGAGATTTTCTTCAAGAAGCCGACTTGCAATCCGACTGCTATCTTCCTGGAAGATAAATCGTGCTCTTCTTCGATTGCAGATTAGCCCAGAGATAACTTTAGCTTGCATTTCGCGACATTAATCTTCAATTACCTTTATATCTCTTAGGCTACTCAAGATGTAATCGATGTATTTAAATATATGATAATTAAATAAATATATGAAGAAAAAAAAGAGGGTTAAATTCAGTATACGCTTTCTTCACTAGTCATCGCAGAAGAAAAAAAAAAGATTATTTCCACGAAAGTATCCAAAATGATGTTAATGACGGTAGACATATTCAATCAAGTAAAGCTTGTATTGTCCTAGAGTCGAGAAAATATTTTGTGATGCTCATTATTGGGCATTTATGAAGCGAACAGTTTCAATCGTGGCATTCGTATTGACGTTAATGGCTCGCTCTCGACGTGGTATGTCAATTATGCGTATACATAGGATATAATGCGCGCAATACACCGTGGATAGTAACGTACACTCCTGATCCGCCTCCGTTTGTTACATATCGCGATGTAACGTGTCAGAAGTGTCTATTGATCTCAGTGATGTCGAATGCATAGAATGGTCTAATGCGTTAGCTGTATCGAATGGCCGATGCGCCGGCAATAGATCATCCGAGCGGCCGGCTGAGATTTCGGAAATTACCTATCCGATATCGCGACGCCGCGCCGCGATTTGCAAAAACGGCCACCGACGTTGACTGATGCGCGAATGACTAGGAAACTCGATTTTGCGAAAAAAAAATGGAAAAAAAAAAGAAAAAAACAAGAGCGACCGGAACTTCCGTGTTCCGCCGCCGGTAGGCGAATTTTCGAATCAAGCGTAAAACAAGCGGAAGATCCGATCGACTGACACCTCATGGTCGCGCGGCTGGCGAACAAATACCTGTATTACTACTTTGCGTACGAGCGGATAAAACGAGTGTGTCCGTTTTGCGTCGTGTCTTTTCTGCGCACCGTCCAAAACGGAAGATAGCGCGACATCCGTTTCTTTCCACGAAACGGCACACGCTTGTTGTGAAAACCCGTTTTTTTTTTCATCTATAGTAAAATACGATTTTTCTCGGTGCGTTACGCCACCGCCTCTAGAATTTACATTCGAGATATTCAGACGTATTTGGTATACGTGAAATGTATTTAATTTGCGTAAAAATAAATTTATTTGCACGAAATGATACCTGGTTGTCGTAACCATGTAGTGTATTTAAAACTTTATAATCACGTGAAAATTACTAATTAAAAAAGAATTTTAAATAAATAACAAATTTTTTTCCGATAAGATCAATGCTATACATATAATAAAAAGTCAAAAGAATTCATTTTACAATAAAATTGTATAGAAATAAATAATATGTTTATAATATCTATATGTATATTTATATAAATATAATAATGCACAAAAGTTTTGTTTTTTGAATAATATATTATAAAATGCGAGGAAATGTGAGAGAAGTAACAAATAATTCTTTTACTTAATTAGAAAGAACACGCCAACTATAACTAAATTTTAAATTCAAATTTAAATTTAAATAATATGAATACTTTTTATTTAATATTCTTCATTTTACGGATATAACATATCAATTAATTTTAAACTAATAACGAAAATGCACGAAATAAATCAAACAAGACTATTATAGCAAATTTAATAAAAAATAAATTATATGCGAGCAGTCGCAGAAAATATTCGAAATAGCAACGCTTGCAGCGCGAATATAAATGCCTGTTTTCATTTTCGTCTCAAACGTATTGAAACTGTTTGTCATAAAATCAGACTATATCACAATGAATGTACGTTGAATTTTCACGTATATCAGATATTATTGCGAATATTTTGCAATTGTTGAAAAAAAAAAAGCGAAATGCGCGTCTACATCGAAAGTCTTTCTAGTTTACTGCTCCATAATGTAAAACGTTCGGGGTTTATCGTAAAATCTGGGAGCTTCTTAAGGCTCCAGGTCCTGACCGCAGAAGTATAAGTAAGGTAAAACTAAACCAACTTTAGCGCCGTCGAGTTCAAGTTAAAATTAAAGTTTAAAGACTTATAACTTCCTAACGTGCTGCTTCCTGATCCCGAGGACGAGGATAGTTAACTCAATAGGTCCCCGACATATACACGCTCACACACGTACATACACACGCAAGCAGATATATATACTCACACATAACGCTTAAGCGCCAGCATTTTCAATAACTATGATACTCTTGATCTCAGTTTTGACACGGAGCTTGCATAATACGCTTAAAACTTTCGTATCTTCTTTCTCGTCACGCAACTGTCACCCTTAACCGATGATCAAACAGCAAACCAGGGGAGAATCTTGTAATAAATATCAAGATATTTCTTTCTTCCAATTTAAAATTTCTAATCAAAATTGTTTTGACATTTATAACATTTAATGTTTAAAATTAAATCTATATTTTAGTTTGAATAAATTAAATCTGTCAAGTTAAAACTCCTTCTTTTTTCATCGCTTATCTCAAAAATACACTTCTACAAAACATCTTTCTTTTTATTAACAGACAAAATAATAAACGCTTCAATTTGCACTGTCCTGCTCTATCTATATCACATGTAGGGAGTTTTTTTGCATTATTTTTATTCTTATAAAATTTTATTTTATTTTATAAATTATTATAATTTTTAAAATTTGTTATTTTTTTTAAATTATATTGTATTTCTGCTTTTTTTCAAATATTTATTACATTAGTACTCACAAAAACGTAAATATGTATGTAAGGTGCAAATGTGTGTGAGTGTTCGTAGTACATTAAGCTCGGGTCTGTGGATTAGCTAAGCCCAAATGATATACGGATCAGTCATCCCTGAAGAAAGAGACGAAACAAAAGAGGACTTGACACTGAAACTCCATCCATAGATTACCGCGCATGCACTGCAGCTTCGTTATTGTTATTAGAAGAAATTACTGCGGCGTAAATTAGCGACGAAATTAAGAGACCGCACTTAATAATAGACTTGAGCACATGCTTTAGAAATTAAACCATAATAAGAATTAAAATCGTCTCTTATGCTTTTTCCGTTTTCCAAATACATAATTAGCATAATTTGTACATCAAATATTTTTAGCTTTTAAAATAACTTGAAGATTTAAAAAGTTTTCCCATGTCTTGTCTACTGCGCGAAATAAAATTAAAAAGCAATTTGTTGCAGTAATTTACATTTGAACAGTCACATTCAAAAATGGTAATATAATTTATTTACAGATTAAACAATCTGCAGCATATATATGCAATGTAGTAACAAGATACGCCATCGAATGTAACGTACAAAAATGTACACGAAAAAATATAAGGCGTATTTATGGGAAACGATTCATATGCTATATATATCGAGAGTATTAAACAGTCCGCTGCCGACTTTTATTCCTAAAAATTTATTTTTCTGCGCAACACTATTGTGTGCTTGCACAATTATTTCTGTATAACTGACGCTTTTTGTACTTTATTCATACTCTTTTTTCTATTATTGCATACGTACGCCGAGTCAATATATCAAAATCAATATAGGAGGAATGTTAAATTTACGGATTTCTAAAGTCCTTAAAAAAAATAATTGACAGAAATGTCGTTAATTATTTTGAAAATAATCAATACAATAAAAATTAAATTTCAAAATACATTAATTAAAGTAATTGTATTGTCAAAAATATGCAATATAGCAAACAGATGTCTCTTCTTACATTATTTAACAAAATATATTCTGTGATCTACAAATTAGATAATCAATTTTGTTACTGATTTTAAATGACAATTCATAAATCTTTATATAAATTTATCCAAATTTGTCTGTTTTTAGAATCCTTTCAAAGTTCTCTTTTTATTGCATAATGTATAATAACACGTAACTCAAAATTAATTATGTGTTTGTCTGCCAATTATTTAAATCATATTGAACATTGACACATAATAAATACAGATTATAGAATATAGAAATATAGAATATGTATTAATCATAAACTAACGAGGAAAAACATACGACCAATGTTTTAACAAACTATATGAGAAAACAAAACAGGTGCTGGCCCACAATCGTGTGGTTATCGTTCGTTCTGATAAAAACGATTGCCAACAATGACCGCGACATATACCAATAGCCATTTGTCTCCGTCTCTTTTTTTGCCTACGTGGAAAGGGATTATACCTTCTGATAACGTTAAGGGTTATTAATCCTAATATTTCCGCGCTTCCAACTTTCATTACATCGGTGTGCCGTTATTATATCTATCCGTTTCGTCACAAAAATCCTAACTAATTGCTTGGCAATTTAAGCTCTTTTAAGTATTTACTTTTATACAATTAGAGAATATATAATATCTAATTTTAAAATATCTTTAATAACCAACCAACTATAAAAAGGTATATTTTTTATTTAAGATTAAGTGATACAAAGCTAAAATTCGTAAAATTAAGAAATATAAATATTTTAAAAACCCCTCGTGCTCTAAAAAAGAAAATGCAACAAGTATTCTACGTTGTACACGATATTCCAAGCTTCGCGTACGTACTCTGTTATAAATTCTTTAATTAAATTAAATTAAATTAAATTTGGAAGCAATATTTCCTTAACAACAATTTAATATAAAAAAAATCATGTTTTGGAATAATTTTGTTATAATAAATTATATATGATTGCCATAATAATTTATAATTTATAATAAATTATATTATGACTGCCATAATAATTTACAATGATATATATAAATGCGAATTTGAAACAGTCAACATATAATTATTACTTTTCAAAGATTAGAAGATTATTTCATTGTAACGTAA